TTTTTTTTTTTTTTTTTTTTTGGTATGTGTACAGCACTGTACTAAAACTTACACATAGCTGCTCAGCAGAAATTATTGATCACAACTAAGTCTTAGTAACTTCAGGGTCCATTGAGAAACAGCTATTTCAGGAATACAGTTCTGAAGTAGAATTGCTAAATTTTAAATCAATCAACATACACTATCTACTAAAATTAGTTATATAAAAATATTATTCATTTAGTTGTTCATATGTAGCCAAGAAGCTCAGATACAGTAAAATGCCAGATAATAAATCTATAAATGCCTCCTAACCAAAAAGCATTTATTTAAACACATTGAATTTATCACTATCTTTCTCTTTAACCACTTTTGTTACCTACACAGCTACCTTTCAGCCTGACATCACTAGTGGTGGCAGATATATATACACATCAATTTGAGATCAGAAAACTAGTAAAAATATCAACTTTTCAAAAAAGGGTGCTAAAAATAAATTATTTTAAGTTTTCTGTCAGCTTTAAAATTCTATAATTCTATGATACAATATCAACCTAAAAAAAACACAAATTTTTAATACAGACTTTAAGCCATCTTTCAGAAAAGATTTAAGGACTCTCACCTGGTATCTACTAAAAGTTCTCTTACATTTGGTTAGAGAAAGAATAAATTGTAACTCAGTCCTTAAACAGCAAGGTATCTTCCTATTTAGTTTTTGGCCTATGAGAAGAACCTGAAAGCAAAATGCTCGACTTTTAAGCTTTTGGGTTTCCAGGCATTACAATGAAAAAATGGTCAGTTATCTGATAAAATACATTGCACATTCTGCACGTTGCTGGGTGGATGTGTTTCTGTTTTAAGGGTAACAAGTTATATTTAGGGAATTAGTATTAAGACATAAATTATATATACACTGAGTGTACATAACTAGGGTAAGACTCATTTGCTTTCACTACATCTCTATGTGGTTTATTTGAGTACATAGCTACCTGCCTGTAGAGGCTACATAGTGGGTGTGCTGAACATCAGCAGTTTGTCCTGGGGTCATCTGCACTACATACAATTATGCTCGGGTCACCTGGGTTATACAGAAAGCCTGGAGTTTTAAACTGTCATTAGAATATTGCGGCCTGATTTTAACAATACAGCACTGCTTCTAATGATCTTAAAGGTAATTCACTATTCAGACTCCAAGCAAAAGATGCAAATGTAGCACTGAAAGCTCCTTATTAAATACCCACAGGCTACATCTCTGTACAATAAGTGGTCCAGGTCTTTTTAGAACATACTAATTAGATGAACAGAGACTCAGAAAAATGCAAAACCAGGTCAAGCAGCAAAAATGGTGAAGTGGTTAAAAAAAAGGCGGGGGGGAAGTGGTGTGTGTTGCAGGGGTAGGGGGGGAAGAAAAGCATACCAAATAACTCCCTGTCCCACCACTATTACAAAATTATCTAGGAAGTAAGATAAATCATGTCAGGTCACTACTGAATTCACTCAAATTAGGGTGGATATTACTATTAAAGTTAAGTTTTAAGTTTATTGTCAGGGATATGCTTAACTGATGATACAATATGATGAATAATACATTAAGCAAAAGCCAATCTAAAATTAAATGTGCCTTAGGTTATCTCCCATTATTATAAACATTCAGAATTATTCTGGTTTATAAATGAAAGCTAATATCAAGAAAATACTTTTTGGGGACTTTACTCTTTAACAGTTACAGATATAGTTGCCAAACCAATGCCACTATAGCTTTATGGAAGAAAAAGAACTCTGATTTCCAATTACTTCTAAATAAGCATGTATATAGATAAAGTTAATAGAGAAATATTACATTTGTTTTTTAAGATGTATCATAATAGAGAAATACTACATTTGTTTAAGATGTATCAAAATTCAAACATTTATTTTCATATGAAATATTTAGACAAGCTGTGTTTTGCTTTTTTTTTTTTTTTTTTTAAATGAAGTCTCCTTGTTTACTCTTAACTTTGTAGAAACTGCAGAGTCTAGTTTTTGCTCTGGCAACTGAGGAATAGAAATTGTTACCAGCTGCCCCAAAACATTAAGATATTATCAACACATTTTGAAGCTTCAGGATTTGTGTTCTTACTCCTCTCTCTTCCATACCCCTCTGAAGATGGCAACACATGCACAAGCCATCTAAAGAATGTGAAGCACACAACAGAGGAAAAAAAGGGCTGTCATCTACAGATTCTCAGATTTTCAATAGTTTTTCTTTTTTTTTGAGAACAATTTAGCTTCTTTAGAAGCACTTACTGAAACCAGCACTTTAGCATCATTCCTTTCAACACCATAGAAATTTATTTTATTAAATAACCTATTGGAGAAAAACTGTTTGGAGCTTTTTTTTTTTTTTGTACAAATCAGTTCCAAATTCAGCCACTTCTATTTTATTACTCATGTGTTCTTTACAAAGACTTACTGTTTTACCTGACTTTGATCATCCACTTTAAGCAAAAAAATTGTACTCATATACCTTAACCAAATTTCACATTCAATATAAAGTAACTATAATACAAATCATATGTATCTAAAAGGAAGTATTAAATCAATCCACTACAATCTGAATTTATAAAATTTAGAACACTAGAGTAGAAGTCCGAGGATCTGGATCCTCACATCATATCTGCTGTACTATTTGGCAGTATCGCCATGGGCAAGCTGGATCTCCCGAGTCTCATTTCCCTTATCTATAAAATGAGAGGAGTGAGCTAGATGTTCCATAGGTTTCCATCTCTCAACAAGTTCAGAATTTAGTTAAGACTCTGATATTATGGTTACAAACTCTAATATAAATGACCCAGTGATTCTCAAATGGATCCTAAAATTCAAAAGGCCCCTACATTCATTTTATTTACTCTCTAAAGCAAATGTGAATCATTATAACACTAAATTCCCTAAAATTTAAGTTGCTTCACATTCTAAAGGAGATTATGAAAAATTTGGGAAGGGGGCGTTTTTCTTCTCTGAGGATCAGGCTGTGCTGGAGAAGTTGGGGTAGAGATGGGGAATGGCGGTGAAAGGACATCCTTATTGGTGAGAACAGTAAGTAGTTCCCAATTGATCAATTATATTATAGAAACTGTCAAAATACTGTCTTAGAAGCTACAAATATGTCTTTCCTGACCAGGAAACCACAGGCCCAAGGAGCTATAGTGCAAGAAGGACTTCATAATATATTATTCCATCACACTTATGTACAGTTGGCTTGAGGCTCGAGTTAGAATGCTTATTTCTAGGCCACTGCAGTTAAAAGGCCATGTCCATTAAAGGATGATGTATTTTGTAGTGAGCTGGGTAGTTCTTCATAAAATGGTTGCCATCTGTAAGCTAATGAAAGTTGAAGTAAGTCACATTAATATCTTAATTATTGTAAGAATGATTAAATGAAATTAATATATTTTAAATTTTATTTACAACATCAGATCCTTAATTAGGGCTTAGTTAAAACTGGCTAGTGGTAAATATATATTCATACAGATTAAGATCTTTACAAGATGCTATACAAATGACAATCCTGGCCATGTCCAATACAGAGTAAACATACACTTGTATGGAAAGCTCCCATAAACTTTGATGCCGTTTCTTACTGCAATCCAGTACTTTTAAATCAGATACTCTCAAACAGCAGTTTTCCCTACATAAACTAGAAGTACAATAGATTTTCATACATGTTTTTTTCCGACATGTGAATACATTTTGCTGGTGTGTGTGACATTTTAGAACAGTTTAGTCCTCCAATTTGTTGAAGATAATTCAAATACTTTAAAATCAAAATAATAATATTTGCCAGAAAAAGGTAACAGTGATAATACTGAAATTTCAGAAGAGACTTCATCAATTTGTTCTCAGAACATCTGCCAATCTAAAAAAGTACTCTTATTTTTTCTGGTAATCTCTATCGTCTTGAGCTTGATCGGATGGTATAACAAGCAAAATATCTTATGAATGTTTTTTGCCCTCAAGAAGCTATTCTAAATGAATTAGTCTTCCACAAAGTAATGAATTCATATTTTAAGATGCTTTTGTAAAATGTTCTATCATTCCAATTGTAATTTGCAACCTAGTTAAGAAATCTTAGCCTACTAGAGGGAGGGAAAAATCTAATGGGGGAATGAATGTCATGTTTGTATAGAAAAAAAAGGGCATGTGAATATAAAGCCCGTATATACTGGTTTTGACAGCACACTGCACTTAAGTGATTTTATTATGCATATTATTTCAAATATTCAATAGCATTTAGATATACATTGAACTATTAAAACCTTTTAACAATGATTAAATTTTTTAAATCACATTAAATTACATGTAATTTCTTGAAATCAATTATAGATGAACAGGAAAGGAAACAGTTAATATACTAATTACAGTAATTAAGAGTTGCCGATTTAATCATAGCTGGGGATATGAATGCTCTAACATTTGTTAGAGTGTAAAAAACAAACCTTTAGTGCAGAGACTTTGTTCACAAACATCTAATGGAGACCTCCTCTGCCTCACTCTGTGCTTCTCTGCTGACACAACAGCAACGGGTTCAGATTGAAGAACTTGTCAGCAATCAGGCAGGAGGAGGCTAATTAGCTTGCAGGTTAATGAGTGTGATGGCTCTTGACAGCATTTTGTTACAGCCTCTACTGTATTTAAACAATAAATGATTACTTATATACAGTTGAGACATTCCAGCCATAACAGCCAAGCACACATTTAGTTTTACAAATACAAAATCAATTCCTTTGTTTCTTAATAAAAAATATAAAATTTGCATTAGTTAAATCTCTATCATATTATCACAATATGATGCTAAGGAACTGAACAGTTTTTAAAAAAGGGTAATAAATACAGTTTATGTAGCGGTATGCCCTTTTGAGTTGAAAATCTCATTGAAAGGATGCCAGGTAAGCTACATAATTGAGTTACTGAATGATAATTTAAATATGGCAGCTTTTTAGTAATGTGGAACAACTTACCTAAAAAAATTCAAGGAAGATTTTTTTCTTACTTTTTTATTCTATGTCTATCTCTGTGAAATAGGTATAAAAGGCACACACAGAGGAATCTATCTGCTTACCCTGTCGATTACTAGAGATTTGAAAACAGGTGGTGAATTAAGGAAATGGCTCTATTGAGAGATTAACCCATTTCATCAACCAGTGGAGAAGGAAATAAGAACATTTTTACAGCATCCCTATAATCCATATATTTAGTGGTAACAGAAATGTCTTAATAAAAGCACTAAGGAAATAAGCGAGTACTTAGCAGCACTTTGATTTACTTTTTAAGGCAGCAAGTATTAAAATCTAAGGACTCTGATTTTTATTTACATGAAAGGAAAATGATGTGTCCAGAAAAACCTTACCTGAGAATTAAACTGAACTTTAGCTTCATAATATCAAGGGAGGGTTATTTCAATTTAATATTCAAGGTTCCCTGGGAATTTGAGAACAGACATGGAAGAAACACCTGCTGAGATTCATACTGCTTTCTAAATTATTTTGCATGCATGAAAATATTATTTGTGTACCTTCTCACTGCTGTATGATGAACATTTGAATAAAAATAGAAAAGTAATAAAAATTTCAAATACGTACCTTTCTAATGTTCTTTTTCATGTTTAAGAATAAAAAGTATTATAGCCATCACAATTATGGTAGCCAATAAATATCTGCACATCAAAAATCTTTGGTAGGCCTGGGCAGATTTAGGGGAGGGAAAAGGAAACTAGTGTAAAAACCAAAACAGTCTGTTGTACAGTTAAAACCTCCAGCTGTAGTGAGTGCCTAAAATTTCCAAAGGGTGAAAGAAATACTGCAAATTCAAAATCTGTAGTTAGTTTATAACTTTCCCTTAGTTATTTTGAATAATAAACCCTTAAGGCCAAATATAAGTACTTTAAAATTTTTACATCAATTGTGTGCTACTTAAACATCTGAATTCTTTATTACAATATAAATATATTTATAATCTCTAAATATATTTCTCCATATTATGTATGCATTCTCAAATAACAAATATACTATTAATTAGCTTACAGGTCTTTCTAGCACACATATATATAGCCTGCTGCACATTTTTTAATTTATACCTAAAGCTGGTTAATATAGATCCTTAAGCCCCAAAGGTCATAATGCTGTGTTAAATTTAGGCAGATATACAAACACAAACTTTTCTTAAATTTTAATCCAATTAAATTTTAGAAAATCAAAATTCTCTTCCTAATTATATGATTAATTGCAACCTAGTGACTTGAGGGGGAACTGACTCCTAGCCAAAATCACGACCCATTCTGGCTGTTTAAATGAGAATATTCCTCACTCTGAAAAATTATTTATAGAAATTTTTTACTACCCTTGTATACTGCAATGTTATTTCCTTTCCCACACACTAGCAAAGTCCATTTTCACAACTGCTATAAAGTGGCATGTTCACAGCTAGTAAAACAACTCAATAAATAGCCTCGCGAAGCTATAGCTGTCTCATATCCTTTCCTCAATAAAAACAGAGGTGAACTGCTTATTTTCAGCAGCACACTATAAGAAGACAGAAGCATTATGACTGCTCATACATTCTGACTATCATTTGCCACAAGCTATATCTGTCAGCATTAAATAAAGCTGCATTATAAATGTAAACAAAACACCCACATCTACAAAATGAGCTGTCCGCCATGGCTGTAGGCATGAATTGAACCTGCTTATTGACTCAGGTTGCTCTTTTTATTTATTCTTCTACAAAGACATGCATTTACTTTACCCTACGAGCACACTAGGTTTCAGGGAGGCAACTAGTCTTGTGCTAGAGCAAAAAAAAAGGCACATGTTGACAAATGCATATCTTAATAGGAATAACATGTAAAAAACTGATTTAAAACATTATCCTAGATCAAAACGCTAAATTGTAAACAATCTGTGGACTCAGACCTCTAAATTTATATTTATGAACTACAAGAAGTAATTTACTATCAAAACAAATAGAATTTTATTTTAAATATCTAATGATAACCAATGAAAGGGGTGGAATGATACTCACACATTGTCCCACCCTCCACACCTTGACTATCCACTGATAAAGTCAATCTTATAAATGAGTGTGGGGAACTAAATATCCTGGGAATCCAACTAGGCAGAGCATATAATTAACTCAAACTGCTAATAAGAAATAGCTTCTGTAAAAATAAACATATCATTTGTAACATGTCTTTTGTACTTTTTCACGTGTTTTACGCTTAATGAAACTGAACATAACCACGGCAATAGTCATACATGGCTTAACGTCCATGTTCTGTGCACAGGATGTTATATGATTTGGATGTTATGCAAACACTTGGGTCTGCAGGGTGCAGGGCTCCCAGGGGCACACGGGCAGGAGGGCTGCTGGACGCATGCGGCCAGGCAGCTCCAGCGGATGCCTCAGGTGAGCAGTTGGCCTGTCTACCCCTTGAAGGTCACAGTAGGGAGGCTCCAGCCACAGGCCGGGGGGCAGCAGGGAAGTGGTCTCAGTTACCCAGCCCCAGGCATATCCCCACTTCAGCAGGCCCTGGCCCTTGATGTCTGCTGACTTTGGGTGGTCGGGAGCAGATTGGGCGCCCACTCCTACCAGCGGCAGGGGCTCCTGTTCCCGCAGGTGAGGGGCTGCAACGTGGGCTTGCTGCTGACTTGGGCTGTGGGCATCCCCCGGAGGAAGCACAAGACCAGGAACGTATATGCGATCCAATCCTTCCCGAACTAACATGTGGCGCATGACTGTATTAGAAAAGGGTAACAAAAACTTCGTGAGCCTAAAAATATTTTGCCAACTTTAAAAAAAAAAATTCTGAGGAGTTAATACATAATTCTGAACCTACAGTAAGTCTACATTCTCATTTGAAAGAAATGTTTAAAAAGAGTAAAGAGGCTCTTTCTGTTATTGTTCTAGGACAGGACATGATGCTAAATAAGAGGACATCTGAAATACAGATACAGTGGATTTCTGGGAGTGAATATTCCAACAGGTGTGCTGCATGTCAAGGTTTTAGTCTATATCCAGACTTATTTTGAAAAGGACTGTCATCATGCCAAATCATGACAAGTGAAGATATGTTTTGAAGACAATCATTACAAACATGGCCAGAGTACACATGTAAGCCATCAACACACAGGCATTACAGGAAAATTGAAATAAGCATTCTTTCGAACAACCACATGGGGCTCTTTTGTGTATGTGATCAAATAATTTCTCAATTAGTTTTCTCCACTAAACTGCTGATTGCTTTGGCCTCATGTAGCCAGAGCTATAGAACTAGGTTAAAAATCAGCCTAAGCAGCTAGAGACTACCAGAAAGATTTCCATATGATAGAAGATCTGAAGGTGTGCAGAGACCAAGGACTCCAAATATGTTAGTCTTTATTTGTCACCCGTTGAACAACCCAAGAGTCGCTAAGAGATCTAAAAATTTATACCTTTGTCCCTAAGTGCAAAATAGTCCACACATGAAAGTTCAGACTTAAAAGCAAGAAGTAAAAAGCAGTGGTTAGAATATTAACACATACTGTCACAACTTACTCTCATGTAGGACTTCATCCTCTATGACAAGGAAAGCATAAATGTTCCTTTGCTTCTCACTATCCTTTATTCCACAGATGGATATTATTACTGCTTTTCCTTTATAAGATAAGCTTGTTAACAAGAACTACAGGATTGCTTACAGCTGCTATCCATTGGGGTAGGTTGCATCATTGTTTATGATGTTTACAGAAAAAAGGGAAATCAGTACAAAGAAATAGTACAGAGTAATTAATGTATTGTAGCGTAGTAATTTCCACTTTCTACCTCCATTTAAATAAAATAAAGCCCAGTAATGCCAGCGTAAATCAGGGGGAGCCACAGGGGAGCACAGCAAGGCAAAGACATTAAAGCCAAACCAAAGCCCTTCTTCACCCAAGCTACTATTATTATTACTTGTGCAAAGCAAATATTCAGCTTCCAACCCTAAATCATTTCAATTCCTATTTCCAAGTATAATTTAATCTTTTCCAGCGACACTTGATGCTTACTTCATCACAGCATAATGACAGATTAAAAAGTTGTTGAATTAAATATTAAAGAGGACTTCAGGCAGTTCTGCATTTTTAAGGAATAACACAGATTGGGGATGAAATGAGAAGCCCAAATGCATATTTTATACCAAAAGGAAAGAATACATATATTTTCCTTCAGGCCACCTACTTTGTAATAAAACACAGGGCAGGTTTTTATTTAGTGGATAAAAATGTGAAATAGTATTATAAGCTTCATATCACTATAATCTCGCACCATACAATGATGTCAAAGCCAATGATACTATGTAACAATAAGATTTTTTTTGTATTTTATTTAAATATTTTTAATATAAGCATATTCATAATTTACCACTTTTGCATTCTGATTTTAAAAATTAACTTATTTGTGGATATTTATCTGAGATAAAAATCTCATAGAAGATAGCATCAAAAGAAACCATTATGTAAATGATTTTATGATAAAACTATTTTGAGCGGGTAAAAAAAAATTTACACCATACTAGTAAACACAGTTCCAATTAAAATGCTGATTAGACTGCTAGGCCTAGTTTTGGAGGCTCCCATTAGATTGAGGTAAAATTGGAGATGAAATGTATTTAACAGTAGTACCTTAACTCTTAAGTGGCACAGGGACAGAGTCAAAATGCAAAATTTTGGATGGCTATACTTATTCTAGGGAGCCCTGGTGGCAACAGTGATTAAGTACTCAACTGCTAACCGAAAGGGTAGCAGTTGAGAACCCCCCAGCTAATCCTCGGGAGAAAGATGAGGCGGTCAGCTTCTGTAAAGATTACAGCCTTGGAAGACATATGTGGGCAGTTCTACTCTGTCCTATAGGGTAGGTATAAGTTGGAATCGACGGCAATGGGATACTTATTCTGATATATACAGAGAAGGATATATAAACACAGTTAAAATTCCAAGGACCCATGGATCACTACATTTGGTATATTTTCTTAATTTGTTGTTTTTTAAAAAAGAGGTTTTTTTCTGAGGCTCAAAAGAAAACAAATTCTTGGTTCACTGTGAACTCAAGCAATTTGACAGGGGTAAAAATGAATCTTGTGATCATTTTACTTCATCTGTGTAACTACAAATTGCAATTTTTTTGTACATCATACATTTTTGCACAATAGTTATAAGTACTTTCTCCTCTGCTCTTTTCATTTCACTTACTCATTATCGATATTGTCTACCCATTTGATTGAACCACATGAAACTGCTATTTTGATAAGTAAAAAATGGTTGGATATTGGCAATTTCAAACTGAACACTCATTTTAGAAAGTTACATCTCATTACCATTTGAAAAGAGAAAAAGTCATTCACAGTAATATGTTTTAAATAATAAGATGTAACTTAAAAATATCTACCACATAGAGGGAGCAACATTTTTCTTATAGGTCAAGGAAGCAAATGATATTTGTTTGTGAAGTTTATTTTTGGAATAAGTACATAATATAAATGTCAGATGTGAATATTAAACATTTTCAAGTAATACATTTTATCTAGTTCATACATTAAAAGAAAGAAAGAAAAAGATAAAGGTAGTAATTTGTTTTTTTCAGAAATTATAACTTTGGTTGGGATACAGCTAAATGTCATCATGGCTGGCAACTACACATGGCCTTGAAACGATGGCCTATTTCCTTTTGGAAAAAATTTGCAGTGCTATTGCTCTTAGCTGAACGTGACAGGATTTACTCATGAAGTTCTGCACGTACAATCTTTTATTTTAAGGTAAAGTACAAAATATGAATGTGGAATTGTTTTGCAACTCTATAAAGAGAGCAAGGCTTTTAAAATTATAATCTTCTTACTCTTTCCAAATCTCAGCGTTCTGTTGTTCTACTGGCATGGATACTGGCCAGTCATTCCTTGCAAGCATACAATTCTAAGTTCACATGATTAAACGTATAACCTACACTACAGAAATACTTCAGTTTTTGCAGATATTCTTTAAAAGTGAAAAAATTGAGAAAAGCATATTCATCCTGCTTCCACCCTCATTCCCAATACTTCCTGACTAAAGCCCAGTCACTAGGAGATGGGGGAGGTAACAGTAACAAAAAGAGCAATTTTTCTATGGTTTCCATATTTAAATTCTGGAAAGCGCAGTAATTTTAATTTTCTGGAATGCTTTCCACACAGCAATAACGAGGTAATAATTTCCCATCACCTAGGACATAGTAGGTACTCAACAAATGTTTGCACAATTAAATTCCCTGCGGAATTCCCTATGGAATTCAGTCTCCCATTGAAAAAACACGGCCATTAAGTTAGGATGCTTCCGGGCCAATTACTGTGGGAAACCTTCCAGATGTTTCATATTTATGGTGAGGGGTTACAGAGTTATTTTTCATTAACCACCATTTTCCCAGTGTGTCCATGTTTTATAGCCGGTTTGGAAAATTTTTCCCAACCTTCTAAAATGTTCACGTGGTGATTATGCCCTTCTCCACAGAAGATACCTAGGTCAGCAGCCGCCCAGATATTTGAAATCAGGTAAATCCAGACTACATGGTCGCCCTACTGCAAATCAAGCTTCTGCTTTGTAGTTCAAAGGCACTAACTTTCGGACTCCGGTTCCGACAACGGGCGGCTGGGCATGAAGCGCCTGTTGCCCTCGGCCGCGGCAGAAGCTCCGCCGACTACCACCCACCAAGGTGCAGCCGGGGCCGCAGCTCGCACACGGGGCCTCTCCTGGCAGCTCGCGCACGCCGCGCCACTCCGCCCACGGCTCCCGGGGCGCGCTGGGGGGCGCGGGCGGGCGCTGGGCGCGCCCATTGTTCTCCAATGCTCGGAGCTGCAGCCCGCGAGCCTGCGGGCAGTCCAGGATGCCCCTCCCGCGGCCGCGCCGGGAGGCCCTGCGCCCAAGCCCTGCTCCCCGCCGCGGCGCGCCCCCGCCCCTCTGGCTGACAGCGAATTCTCACCGCCCTGACTGCATAATTAATGTGAATGGAGCAGCCTCCTTGTCATGTGCGGGCTCTTTGGGTTTACTTTTGTGCGACACTTACACAGGAACATTAACTAGAGAAAGCAGCATCACAACAGGGGTGGAAAATCAGCCTGTCGGGGACTCATTCCAAATGCTACGGGAAGCGAAGCTGCTTCAAGATTGTTTCATCAAGGCGATTGAGAACAAAAACTACTGAGGAAAGAAAATTCGGGCTTACACTGAGCTCCCACATATCCATTATTTCTCTCTCTAGAATCTTTAGGAACGATATATCTGACACATCTTTATGCAAAACTAAGGACTTGAGAAAAGGGGCGAGGTTACTGCGTGTGTGCAGTCCAAAGAGCCGTGGCTCGGCCTGTGCGTGCACAGACGCCCTTGGACAACCCACAGCCAAGCAGGAAAAGACCAAGAGACCCACCTCTCCACGGGTCAGTGAGTTACTCCGAGAAACTACCGGTAATCGTGGGTGACCCTACACTTAACTGAAATTAAGGCAGACGTCCATGGGGATGCTAAAGAGTCCTTCAATAAGGTGAAAGTAAATGTGAGATGTGCCCGATTTATATAACCATTATTCCATCTCCAATCAAATTAAGGAAATTTTACTGTAGTATGTGGTCGCTGACTTTTTCTTTCCATAACCTGCCGTTGGAGAAACTACTTCAAAGTCAAAATAAACAGCAAACTTGCAAAGCACATTTTACACTTCCCCCCTAAAAGTAAATCTTTTGAAGTAACATTTAATACTCATAATCATCCAAAACATTCCATACTGGGTGTGTCCCCTTTTCCAAAGGAGCTGAGACACGGACTTCTCAAACCTGCATGGAGCCTGACCTAAATTAGAACCCAATCCTGCTGTATTTTTTAAACTACTATTTTGGCCTGCCATTAAATGATAAAAAATTAAATAAGAATTTAGGTCTAAAATGTACACATTTACTTAAATTCATTTAGATTTAAAGAAATAAAGAATAAATTTATGAACAAATAATCAGTTGCATTAAGGCTCTAAATTTTTTTTTTATAATGCTAAGTGATCAAGTTCAATCTTTCCTAGTATTTAGATTTTACACAACTTAGGGGAGGAAATGAAGCATATTAGAAAACAAACACAACAAACCTTCCACAAGAAAGAAAAACTGTTGCAAATTTTCAACTCTAAAGTATGTTAGCTATTGTTAAAGAAAAAAAAAAAAGATCAAATCTTTTGCCTCTCAAATAATGCCATCAACCGAGAGTATTTGTTTCAGGAAAAGCATGTGCGCCACCTTTCCTCTCATGTAACAGAGTGACTTAATCCTGAATGTATTCGAGGAATTCCTCCACACAAAGAGGTCAATTGTAGGCCACAGACACCTTACACATATTTGCCTATTAAATGATTGAGAGCTAAATCCACCTGTATGTCTTTACTGGTTTAATTAAGTGTATGTACAATAACTGGAAACAATACTTTTATCCATTCAATACACTACACGTCAGAAGAGATCAAAATGATCAAAATGAACATGCTGATCAAAAGGTTTACTTTAGACAGGAAGCAGACCGTCAGACCATTATTACAAATTAAAAGTATTATATTCAAGTCATTCTTAATCTCCTAAAAATGAATAACTCTTCTCTGCACATTAAATCATTTTCTCCATAGAAGTAACATTTCTTTTATGTTGAAATGTACATATTCCTTCATCATGCTTTAGTTCTTTTACTAGAAGTCGTAGAGGTTTATTCCTCCACATTCTCACCAAGTTTAACCTCCTCTCTCTTTACATGATATAATAAACTTATCACATATTTAAGTAAAAGTTCCTGCGTTTAAAGATGAAAACTCACAAACTGATTATGCACAAGTACTATCTTCCAAATCTCATTTAACCGCACTAAAAATTCTTATTGGCATTCTGTAGTTAGTAACTTCTATATTAACAAATGCTGCTTTATGTCCAGTTACTATGCTTGGTAAATATAAATTTACCCTTATTTTCCAACAATGACTAAATTAACCTTCCAATTCTAAAACTTATTTTTTTATTTTAAGAACTTAAAATATCATGTATCAAAATATCAGTTATGATCTGTTTTTAAAAGGACATCGAATTTAGGATCAGTACACAAATGAACTATAAACAGAAAAGTCCCTTGTGATACTAGTGTGAAACCTGCAGCTCATTGATTTTGTTCTTGATAGTATGCTATTAAACTGGCGAACATGCTGACCCTGTGTGCAAAGGCAGAATTGTGCATATGCAACATAAAGTTAAAAAAGAGCTTCAAAATGACTGTTTAAAACTGTAGGCTATGAAACCTTCAAATACAGACAAGCATTCCATAGTTTATTTAAAATTGGCAACCACAATTTAACAAGCTATTCTAACAAATGATTAGCATAGCATGTGCTTTTCTTTAGCCATCAATTATGACACAGAGTAATGCAGGGCACAACTTAAGTGTCAAATTACAATATGCTATACAAAACCACTTTGCAACACAGCTTTCTGTTTGCTTAGCAATTACTACAGAGCACACTGCTTTTCATGAAAGGAATTGGTCAGAACTGTTTATAAGAATTACCACAAATGTTTATATAGTTATATTACAAAGATTTAGTTGACAATTTCATAAAATTTCTCTTTAACCTTTATTAAAATGGCTGGGTAATCCTGTATTGGTTTAAAACTGTGCATACAACCTAAAAGGTCTGGTCTTTTTATTTTTAAAATAAGACTCATCTGTGATACATGACAGAAGTAGAATAGTACTTGTTCAAGACCAAAGTATGAAAAATCTTTTCACTAATTTGTCCACTAACAAAATTTAAAATTTTTAATATTTGAATTACTGGTATAGTGAAAATTAGTGAAATCTGTAATCATTCTGAAGACAGAGCAATAAGTCTCTTTACCATCCTCAATAAGAAGACGAACAGGAATCTGAATGCAAAATAAACATGTAGAATTTCAGAAATGTGATTCAGGTTGTAATTTACACATAGCAGTCACCGTTTCTTTCAAATACCTGATCTATCAGTGGTGAAAACGAATAAAGGTTATCTGTCTTAATTGTAGGATCATCCATTAATTCATAAAACTCTTATGTGAATACTTAATGAGAAAAGGGAAAAAATAACACAAAACAGTTTTTAGGCTGTTTTTTCTGTTCTACTGCTGTCCTTTTTCCTGCATTTGCCTAAAGGCTCTCAGTAAATTACACTCCCAGTAAATGACTGTAATTTACCCGTTGAATTCCCTTGTTCAGGAAAAGCACAAAAACACATTCCAGCATTTCCACAGCTCAAATTTACCATTCGGGATGTCAAGAACAATCCATGGGCAGTAATTTGAAACTGTTTGAACCTTCAAATGAGGGAAATTAGAAATGTTTTGAGAGCTAAGATTTTCAGTGAGGAGATAAAAACCTGATAAAAATCTCTAACTGTTCAGTTCCTTTCTTCCCCCTCCCATATTAGAGGCAGAGGCCTAAATAAACCATTCCATGGTGGGTTGTGAGAGAGTACTATAGAATATAGTGTTAATAATATAAGTCAAATTTACATTTACTAGGTTGATTCTTTTTTTTAAATAATACAAACTACATTAATGTCATGCTTAATGTTAAACGCATAGATCCTGTGACTTTTCTATCACAACTTTGTCTCCCCTTGCACTTGAAATGTAGGCCATCACTCAAATTAACTTCCTCCAGTACAGCTTATATGAGCAAAGTTATAGATTCAGGGCCCCGGATACCCACCAGTCACTGTTAAAAAACAAAGACATCCTATTGTTATATTTCAATATAGAGAAATCCCACATACAAAGAAATGTAAACACTAACATGAGTCAAAGTTGAATTGTATCACATAATATTTTAATATTTAACACAGGCCAACATATAGAATAAACCAGCATAATCCCCTATGTAAATACTTCCTTACTGCTGTAAGACACACACACACACACACACACACACACACACACACACACACACACACTAGAGTTAAGAACATTCAATAACCAAAACAGCCTATTTCGCTCTGTCTAAAGGCAGGTTTTCATATGGCAAAATGGTTATAAATCCTCATTATCCTAAATAAAATTACAGCACTTTAAACATTTCCAGGGAGAACATTCTCTCTTCTAAACAACTACCTTAGCGAGTAATAGGAAGCAATATGGTTGCACTTGTGTCACAGTTGGAAGCCTTTTTAAACTGTCGCCCTGCTAGCAAACCGATTCTACACATTAAAATAAATGTGTTGCTTATTTCAAGGGGAAAAATCATTTATAAAATCAAGACCATTATTAGGATATTGTGACTTACTTCCTCTTTAAAGTGAACCAAAAGTACAGACAGCAATGATCTTTACAAGTTCACATAACTTCACTCTCCATCAGTTTCGTCTTAGAAGAAAAGGTATTCTTGAAAGATGAGGCTTTGTATACCTAATATTCAATAACCAGCCTATTGCCCAAAACATTTCTGATTACAAATTATGTAGGAAAAAAAACTAAAAAACTTTTCAGTATAAAAAGTGAAGACTTTACAAATATCTCCAACTAAATGATATAGGCCATTAAAAAATACCATGCGTGTATTTTTATCTAATTGAGACTATCTGACAAGTGCATTCTTTTCCCAATAGTTGTGTTGGTATCAAGCAGTACCCAGCTATTATAACAGCTGTATAATGACTGTAACAGATTTGTAGTTT